ATGCTTACTGCGAGTTTACTAATTCTTATTGTGTTACTAACCTTTTGGTTTCTGTATTGTTAGCAACGAGCAGTTCATGCTTTCCGGTGACAGCCAGCGCGGGTTTTGTTTTGGTCTACATATTATTACAGTATGTGCTGGGGATGAAACCGAATTGTTATCTAATGCTTCCCTGTGTCTATGGGCCACCTAAAAAGAGGTAACAATTTTCTGTATGTTTGGCACCGTCAACTATATTTTAACTGATGTCATGCATATATTGATGTAATCAGATCAAAGACAAAGTAACCAGGTGACTGCTAATTAGATATAGATTGGAAAGAAAATAGAGTAAAGAAGAATACAATTTATCTGAGAAAATCGAAAGTTAAATAAAAAGCTATGAAACAATAAAATTATAGATATAGGATTATCCGTATATGGAAAATGATAACTATAATGGTTCGACTGAATATGAAAAGCCATGCGCTTCTTGGAGATAGGTTGCGATTGTGGTTGCTCAAAAGAGGTTCCGAGAGAAAATTTTGCTAAGTTACGTGAGGCGTTTCAAGCTCTCGCTAGATCCGAGCAAGACACATTTTTAATGGCTCAGCTGAAAGCAATGAATGGTGGAGAAATAACTGTCAGCCGACGTCTTAAAAAGAAAACGCGTGCTAGTAAGCGAACGTTTTACTACTGAGATCGCAACACACCTCTTTGTCAAAAAACCTATCTCAATATGTTAGGAATTGGCCGTACGCACTTCGAAAACGTTAGAAATCATCTGGCAACGAATGGTATCATACCACGTATTCATGGTAACGTCAAACGAATGCCACGATGGAAACCAAAATAACCATTGATATAAACGTTGCTACCGCCGTGAAAAATTTTCTCGAAAACTATGCTGAAATTCATGGATTACCAAGTCCTGGTAGAAATGTTAACCGAATTACTCAATCACTTACACTTTTACCAGCTGAAACGAGTTATAAATCGGTCTATCGTGATTTTATTGCCGGTCTTGAAAACGATAGCACATTGAAATTTTTAAAATACGATGCATTTCGCAAGTTATGGCATCGATTAACGCCTTATATTCAAATCATGAGTCCACGAACGGATTTATGTGACACGTGCCAACATTTTCGGAACGGCTTACAGTCTAATGCTCGTAAGGAAGAAGCGAAAGATTTACTAAAAAAATTCAAAAAACATCTAGTTAAGGCTAAATTAGAGAGATACTATTACAACAAAAATACGAAATTAGCAGAACAACAAAGAAAATTAGTAGATAAACAATTTATAATAAGAGGTAAAGCTGATTATTGTAGCGTTGACGCGACTGCTCATTACAGTTACGATTGAGCGCAAAACGTTCACGTACCCCATTCCGATCAACAGGTAAGTAAAATTTACTATCTTAGTCCGCGTAAAGTGCATTTATTTGGTATTCAAGATGAAGCAGTACGCGAACAAATTAATTACGTTCTCGATGAAGACGAAATTATCGGCAAGGGTCCTAATGGTACGCTAAGCATGGTATTCGATGGGATTAAACGATTGAATAAAGGCGAAAAGCATTTGAAGATTACTTGTAATAACGCGGGAGGACAGAATAAAGATAATGCCACTATTTGATTTTACCTGTATTTAGCAATTTGTGGTTATTATAAAAGTATCGAATTAAATTTTATGATACCTGGACATACTAAATTCAAGTGTGATGGAAGTTTTAGATTGATTAAGAAACTATATCACAAAACTACGGTAAATTGTGTGAACGATATTGTTGAGGTTGCGAAAAGATCGAGTACAGCAGGATTAAACAAAGCTCAGCGTTATGACAATGGAAAAGGTTTTCAATACTTAGATCTTAATTCCGTGTTGGGGATTTTCTTTAAGAAATTGAGTGGTTTACAAAAATATCAGCATTTTGTATTTGAAGCAGCCCGACCTGGTATTGTCAAAGCTCAGCTGGTTGCTAATGGTGTTTTTACTGAATTTAATCTGTTGAAAACTAGAAAAGCAAGGGTTTCTGAAATTAAATCCTTTTCCATACTGGTACTAACCCCTCCTCCTTTGGATTACAAAAGGCAAGAATATTTTTATCATAATATTCATCCATTTGTTAGAGATGAATTTAAAGATATTACTTGTCCACAACCATTTTATACTGGTAACCAAAAATAATTAGAGCAAAATCCTCTCCATTATTTCAATGCTTGTTAATTTTCTTGCTGTTATTAAGTTTACCATCTAAATTTTTAGTGACAATATTGCTAGCTTTTCCTGCTTTAATTTGTAAAGCATAAATAAAAGAAATAATAATTAATTATAATTATATTTGAAAATAATAAAGCTACTTAGTTAAAAAATGTTTATTTGTAATTATTGTGAATCAGAAACAACACTGATTTGTCTTCCTACAGAATTTTTAAACACATGAACGGGAACACCAGTTTTGTCATGAAAAGGAGAAAAAAATGAATTAGTTTGTTCTGCGGTTGAAAAATTACAAGGACGAGATGTATTTAATGCGGTTGCACCGTTTTACGGAAAACAAGAAGTGTGTTTGTGGTGTTTTTTGAAAAGGCTTGAAGAATTGGAATATTCAGAAACAGGCGAAAAAATAAAAGCAAATTTTCATTACATTTACATCTGAATATTATTGATCAACCGAACGAAGAAATTGTGAAAATTTTGCAAGAAATAGGAGAAATTAAACAAGACATTTCTACCTTTAAAACTCAAGTAGACCACAACACTGAAAAAGTGGAGAAATTAGAAGATAATAGCAAAAGAATAGACAATCAAA